ATACGCGGGTATAGACGGTATAGACGGGTAACTCGTGTATTACTACTAGATACTCATGTGAAGGTTATCCATTGGTGACAAGAGATTTCACTGTGACTTTGACGTGGCTCGCTCAATTCCTATCACGACTTTATATATATACTTTATACTCCATCATCACCATATCAGCCATCATTTAACCACTGCTGGATATAGACCTCCCCCATAGACTACCATAAGGAACGGTCCCAAGCCATCTGCATCCACTGACGCCGTGTAATGCAGATTACATATTTACATAGATAAGAATCCTTTTACTGTTCAAACTCGGATATCTTTTATCCTTTTTACAATGAAACTGTCGTTATGCGAGATAATGATAATAAATATGATTATTGGATTTAGTGAAAGGGTTAGGGCAGGGACCTTGAGGCCCAGGTTTTATTTTAACGGATCCGCGGATCCGTTTGGTACAGTTGGCAAAAACATAAATTCAAGGCACTTTCTTTCACGCAAAACTATGCTTTGGAATCTACATCCAGCAGCAGTATTTCCGAATCGATACAATATCGTAATCTTTATGAAAATCCGCATACTTGCTAGCCCTCTGTGTTGTAAAAAAGACACATCATAAATAAAAAATAAAATTGACAAATGGCATGCCAGTTGTCAATTTTATGATTACGATTACACTTATAATAATCAATTCGGTATCTTTTCTGGTATTCTGGTATCTGGTAATTGAAGTAGTTGATTTCTCAAAATTGGGTAAACGAACTTTCGAAATCCGGAACACCGATATCTGAGCAATGAAACTTATTACCAATGAAATTTGCACCAATTCTTCACCTCCAATACAAAAAAAAAAATACTTCGCTTACATTTATACAAATTAACCAAAAATTAAAATATCATTATTTTGGCATTTATTACATTTGCTTTATTACAGATCTACTGCATTAGTATTTCTTTAGTATTTTCAACAGAGTTAAAAAAAATTAAAGTAGGTACCTAACTCAGTTGTACTTTTTATATAACATTTGGTACTTGAGAACTCTATCATTTACAAAACTTATTTGAAAATTTTTTGTTTTATCTCTAAATATACTTTCAAATTCGGCAAATCATCAAAATCGTTTGAGTACTTTAGTTTTTAAATAAAAATAATTGAAGACTAAAGGCGGTATCTTTTTTTTTTAAGCAACAACATCTACTAGCTTAGTACACATTAGCACTTTGACTTTATCCATGAAAACAACGCTTTTTATAATTAAAAATTAAATAAAATAAAAAATAAATAAATATGAAACTGTGAAGAAAAATAAAAGAAATAAAATTGTCTGCTGTCGCTACCGGGCACGCGGTGGGTACACTCGGACGGTATAATGCAAACCGGTCTGAGCCCACCAATGCGTTTTGAATACCGCCATAACGCCAATAACATATGCTTCCACGTATAAAAACTGGGATAATTTTTCAAATAGCAAATTCGACCTTATTCCATAGTATATGAGCACAAAATTCAACAGGACAAAACACTTATTGATATTACAAAAAATATTTTCAACTTTACGCTAAAAGTTTATGGTTCAGAATAGAGTAATTTTATGCGAATAGCAATGAGAATATGCCTCGAAACGCGGAACGCTTATCGCGAATTTTAAGTTATGAAACATCTTAAGGTTAAGGGTCAGTTCTAATTAATATTATTTTAATTTTTATTATATAAAATATCATACTTGCTAATTTATAAAAATAAATTATTTAATATTAGTTTTTATTCTAATATTATTTTTCAAAACTGATTTTTTTTTTAATAATATATCGTGCTTATTTTTCCACAGTCCATTTAGGTATGATTTAAAAAAAATACAGAAGCATAATTTTTAAAAATTATTTTTATTTTACAGTTTAATAATTACTGTTACATAAATATATAGCTGTCACTCATAGCCATGGCTAGGGCGGGAGGTGGCACGGAGGGGCAATACCCTACCTTAAAATGAAAGGCGGCAAGAAAATTATGGCTTCTGCCCTACCAAAATTTCTTTTGCCCTACCTTAAACTTGGGTCTAGCTACGGCCCTGCTGTCACTGCTGTGTATTTATTTTATTGGCTTCCTGTTATATATATTTAATCATTAAGTTTAAGCTGTAGGTTTCCTTCGATGCAACTTATTTATTTATTTAAGTCAAACAGACAGCTATAACGGTTTTCTGACAACTAAATAAATAAACAAACAAGCAAAAGACCAAGCGCACGAACAGACTAATAAACAATTAGTATTTATATAATTAAATAAACGTAAGCACTTACCCTTATAGGTATTTATCAAAACAAACGATACACTGTGTGGGTGCAATTTTGGGGCGTAACACAAAAATAATTTCACATCGAGTGTTGATAAAGTTATTTATGTTGTTGCCAGTGGGACGAGGGATTCTTTTATTTATTTATAGCAACCCAAGTTAACAACAAACATTTGGAGGTAACATTTATAAGTATAATGATCATACAAACTCAAATACTTATACAGGGGGGAAAGGGATTGTTAGGAATGGAGATTGACACCCCTATTGTTAGCAATATACCCTATTAGGTCGACCTCCACGTGGTTCCCTCTGGAAACCATCGTAAACAATTCTTATTTAATTCGTCACGATGAGCTAACTGACTTGCTTCATCCTCAGCTATCATCCTTCACTGGTGCTCCACCCCCCCCCCCCCCCCGCTGATGTATACCGATAGCGCGGGTGGGGTTACTATTCCATTATCACCCATTAAAAAAATGCTTATACAGGATTAAATCTGACATAAGCGTAATTTTAATTGAGAGCTATGGCAGAGAAATAGATTTTTTTCCCTAAAGAATTTGGGGTTAAAATAAGAATAATTCCAGCTATTGGTGTATTTTTTTTCCATTCGATTTGTAATTCTTTAAAAATAATGTTTAGCTTTACATTTAAGTCTTTACATATATGATTTTTAACAAAATTTTAAAAACAATTTAAAGTCCTAAAACATCTCTTATCATTCGCGCGCATATAAATAAGAAAAATAACATTAAAATAAGAAATCGGGCAACGAATGTATGGGGCACAGTTAAGGATATTCAGATGTAAGGCAATTAAAAGAAAAATTGATTACTAAATAGGATCGACCAAAAATCAAACCTTAAACTTTATTCATACATAAGTGGAGATTACTACACTTCATAGGTCATCAATGAAAAGCCGAATCCGAATAAGAGGCGCAAAGCTACCGACAACAAAAGAACAATGTGTTTATCGTATTCATAACTTTTTCTACATAGTATCACACCTTTTAAGCAGAATTCTCGTGCCGCGCGTCGTCAAACAAAAAGCCCAAATCGGATGAACACCTCCAAAGATTGTACAAAGGCTCCCAACCCTTTTGTTGGGCGCAAAAAATAAACGCCCTCGAAATAAAAAAGCGTGCTAAATTTCACAGGTCCTTGTACTAAAGTAAATATGGGGTTTTATAGCAAAAAGTTATTCTGTAGGTGGCTGAATTTAATTAGCGGGACGCTAACATCTCTTTTAATTCTTTGGAGAGCCCTTTTAATTCTTTTTACCGCGGTAACAGCTTAGTTGAATAATGTCCGTCGTTGAATCGTATTCCAGCTAAAACTTTTGAATTTTCATATTAATTTTTAGATAATTTTAAAATGATTATAATATGCTTCCTGCTTTTGAGGGCACGAAAAGCCATCTTTCGGTAAGTTACGATAGAGGTTTTTATGTGCACGACGCACTTTTTAGATTTCTCTTTTTATTTTTTATATTTTTTTTTTTGACATCGTGTAATTGTTATAATTTGTTTGGTTACTTCTTTTTATCTTCTTTACATTATATAATACGTGAAATAAAGACTTTGTACCTTGTTTTACAAAAATTGCACGGACGGAGGAGTTTGAAATTTTGATCACTTATAATTTATATAGAGAAGGAATGTAAAACGCTAATATTTTTGTTTTTAATTATCCATAAAAATACATTAAATCAATAAAAAAAACATTACACACTATACCATGTATTTGACACACACACGCATATATTTTGTTTATTGTTAAAGTCTATGGTCAAACCAAAGATTTCTAGGCTAAAACTGAGAATAGATTTATATTGTTTTTCTCTTAGGTTTGTCCTTAATATTATTTGTCTATAGTCTTACTGAATGTCAAACACATTATATATGTATAATATAATCTTTGAAAATTAAAATTAATTATGGTTGAATTTCAACCACTAGGCGACCACTAGTATTAATAGTAATTATATTACCTTCAAAATGACACCGTATTTCTATACCAGCTTACAATCCTTTCGCCTTCCTTTCTTGTATATATCGAAGCTGATTTAGAAAGTCTTGATACCAGGTATTATATGAAAGTGACAAACATATAATGTAATTGTATAGTTTTCTTTAAAGTATTTTAATAATCATCATGACTTTATTAAAATCTTAATTATTCCAAGAAACTGAATTCTCATAAACAGACCTCAATCTCCTTTATGAAATCAGCTGCCAAGCGGCTTTCTTACATACTATGTTCGTTTGAAGGATGATTCATGGAAGCGAAATTACGAAACAGCTAGAAGAAATATGGCGTGCATTATGACTAGTGAACCTGCTGTAGGTGGAACTAAATTTTGCTTTATAAAGAGTGTATAATGTATATTCAATAATGTATTACATGTTCTATTAAGAAATTAAATCACAAGTATTCTTTTAACCCTCTGACCGGGCATCCCGCGAGTTCCGCGTACTCGCATTTTTTATATTTTTTGATGTTGTTATCCCACGATTTCTGTTTTGGTAGATTGATATTGTTTCTCAGAATCTCGCTAGATGGCTAAATGTTCGTACTGCTATTTGTTGTCAAAACGATGTGCGAAAAAGAAGCGAAAAAATAATACGCGACTAGAAGTTGGGAGCTTCTGCCTATACTGGAACTGCTCTACGGCGTATAACTTTATTTATTAGGTATGAAAAGGATTGTACTTACTCCGGCAGTACATATACTAAAATTGGAACGATACAGAGAAGATTAGCATGGCTCCTATGCAAGGATGAAACGCAAAATCGTGAAGCGTTCCACATTTTTCGATGTGGTGAGTGCGAAAGCGAACCCATATCTTCTACATATGGCACCTCGAGGATATATCGTCTGGTTTTTGGTGGGTACACTCCCGTCTTACGGAGGGATTCCTACAGTACCCATTCACCTCCCAGAAGGTGTATGGGTCTGCATAAAGTATTTTCCAGAGGTTAAAAAAAAAGGTATAAAAAGGATTAATATTAATGGGGACTCACTACGGTCCTGCTTGTATATATTCTGCCAGGTTAAATAAAATAACGAACTATATGTTCTACCCATGCCATTTCTTATTAGAATTAATAACACATTTCAACCAGAAATTGTATTGGCTTTCTTATCTTCTAATCTAAATACAACAATGTCTGTGTTACTGATTTACTGTTGAAATGGGCACAATTACTAACCAAACTGCAGATTTTGTCACAATGAGAAAGAAAAGCCTCAGCATTTGATATGTGGCTGTAGCTCACTCATACATAAACGATAGATATCCTTTGGAAAACATACTCTATATTCTGAGGAGTTAAAAAACGTCGCTACAAAATACATCTTGAAATTTATATCATTGATAGGAATTAGCAGAGAACTTTAAAAAAGGACCAGCATAAAATATCATGAAAAGGTCGTCGAGTCACAGGTTTTGCTATCTTAAAAGGCCGTCTTTCAGTAATAATAATAACCGAACTAAGTCACACAAAACTCTCATCAACATCTTCATAATTTACACTATTAACTTTTCTATAGACAATGATTCATTTTGAACTATATGGGACAAAATTAATATCGCCACTTGATCTAGTGGCAATTGCCCCAGACTTTATTCCTTTAACTATTAATTAATATAATTACTATGTGCTCAGGTATGCACACAAACAGTTTATCTCTTCTATAATTCCCCAGAGTCAGCTTTTCAATCGTAAATCACAAATAAATCGAGTCCATTATCAAGAAACGCAATTTTCATAATGAGCGGAATCTCACAGACGCCAGCACTCAACGAGGTATCGATTAATAAATCGATATAGACAATCATAGGAAGCCGCATGCACATTTCGAATAAATTTAGCCGGGATTCGATTACCGTTATCAGGTTGCATCGCTCGTTGAAATAGAATAGATAATCGAATGAATCCAAAGCGTTTGAGGTACGTTTTCACAAAGGCGGTTTGCAAGTAAGTTAAGCACTCGTTATTATCAGAAAGATTGGTTATTCAGAAATCGATTTTGTCGCTCTATTAATGTAGATTTTTGCATTAACCCACCACGCTTAGTACATTTATGTAGGGTAATGCGGATATGTTTTTCCATGTACCTTAAAAAGCAGCTCCGAAAAGTGTCGGATTATAATTTGTGTCAATACTTTAAAGACCGTAATATGCATTAGGTAAATTAAAAGTATTCGTAACCTACGTGTTTGTATGAATAATTTGATGAAAGCTTCATTCATGGACGAGCAGAGTTTAGTACGGGGTGCAAAGCTGACAATTCAATCATAATATGGCGATGTACTCATACGGAGACGCGGAACTCCGTGCTTATTGTTCGAATTTGAATGGGTCGTCTCAAATGTATACTTGTACGCGGAGAAATGCGCAGTGCATGAGATATTCCGTTATGGTGTGAGAAATCTACAAAATGAGTGTAAATGCAAGAGTAAAAGCATAAAGCATAGTAGAATTGTATGTGAAAATCGTAACACCTCAACTTTAGTTTATTTCTCATTTGGACGAATTTTAGAAACGATGTTTCTCTCTGCATCTTCGCTCGGGTGTGCCGTTAAGAGCTGTTAAGGTGCTATAATGTAAAAAATAACTTACTTTTAGATTTATAATTATCATCATCATATCATCAAGTCCATGGTACTGCTCATGTCTATAGACGACGGTTAGCACTTTCCATCAGGTGGGCCGTCAGCTTGTTTGCCATTCTAAGTTGCATAAAAAAAACCAAAAAAGCTTCTAACTGTTCACTGCTAAACATAAACTCTAGGGGCGTTTTGCCAGTCATTTTCATGCTTAGCAGGCGGATTGGCTTTGGAGATGTTTTAAGAGGGACACTACTGCCCATCCCTCGCCCTCCCTTAGTTGCTTTATACGACACCTACAGGACAGGAAGGGATGATTTATTCTATGCCAGGACCACATGGGAACAGACTTATAATATTAGTAAGGATTTTAGTGTATAGTCTTGAACAATCTATTACTAAAATCGTAAATACAATACTAGTTTATGCTATACCTTATAGAATTCAAGTATTTGAATTAAATGGATTCCTGCATTCAATGCTCTTTGCTTGCGTTTCGTGCCACATATTTCGTGTTACAATGTTTGTTGTCATACTGAATAGAATGTGTATCTACTTGCATGCAGACTTCTTAGACAGTGTCGATTGTCTAGTAAAATAGAAAATTTTACCAGAGCGAGAGTTTGCACAAAGTTGTCTGAATAGGTAGCTTTATGTTAGCTATTTTAGTCATAAAGAAGGTTACTTTTTTTTTTAACTATCCATGGTTGAACATAGGCCTTCCGCAAAAGGGAACTTTTGCCAGTAGTTGCCACGCTTAGCAGGTGGGTTGGCAACTGCACTTAGGCTTTGGAGATGTTTTAAGAGGGACGCTGATGCCTATCCCTGTCCTTGTCCCTGACGGGACTACACGACAAATGAGGATGGGATTTTCACAGTTGTAACTCCGAAAGTCTAATTTAAAAACAAAGGTATTTTATTTTGATACGCCATTTAGAAGTGATATTATTATTAGTTTTTTGCTACTTGTGAAACCCATGCGTACGAAGTAGCAGGCAAAAAGCTAGTCGTAATTTTTTTCACATAGATACATCATTTAAAATTATTTTTATCTCAGCGAGAGAACTACACTACACTTTTTTAGAAAAAGAACAAAACAAACTTAATGACATTAAACAAGACAGCTTAATTAAAAAGTGGAACTGATCGGGTGCACTTGAATAAATTAAGCATTTGCAATGTCTACTTAAACATGGCACTTTGTGCAAAGGGAAAAAAAAACAAGAGAGTTGTATCAGATACGAAGCATTTAATACATTTGTTTATTGCAACGTTAGCAAATATTAATTTAATGCAATTGCCAAATAACATTGTAAAAATATAAACATGATTCGTGTTTCGAGACAGGAGAGTAATAAAAATTGGATGAAGATGAAATTTGAATATTTTGACTTATTAATAATTTTTTTCTGTATAATTAGGCGATTTTTGATATCGACTAAAAGCAATATGCGACCTCAATTGGTCCCATATTATATTTTTAAATCAAAGCTATACACATACAAACTCAAAGAGAAGCTTATAATAGGTTAACGAAAATTTCAAGATCTATATTTGTCGTTTCCAAAAAGTTGTTTCGACTTCATGTGTATGTTGTGTTTGCATGGCTGTGTTTCGGTTTGAAGGATGTAATATGACAGTAAATTTACAAGGTACAGAGGAATAACACCTGAGTCCTCAGGAATGGCAACGCATCGGGTGTATCATGGGCGAAACAGTATACTCTGTTATGTCCATGGTATTGGTCATGTCTATAAGCGACGGTTACCGTCAGGTAATGGCTATTCTAAATTGCATAAAGAAAACATAATAATTATCTCTATATATCTATCTCTGTATTTGTAAAATTTGATACAAACTACGTGTACCGTAGACTTAAATAACAATAGACAGCGCAAGTGAGCACCCACTATTAATTTATAGAATTATGTTATGCAATTATATATTTCAGAAGCCATTTACTGTTAGAAAACACAATTTACTATTAAAGCTTATAGAAAATACAATTATTATATTACTTATAGAAATTACGGGCTTCTTTAGATTTGAATTCTATCTAATAATTACGTGAAAAAACCCTTAGTGAGACGGCATAGTGCGGCCAACCGTTGAGAGCGGAATGTTCTCTTTACGGTTTTATTCATAAACTGTGTTGTCTTTATGTTATCTGAGGCTGGTATGACTGTATGCTACGCTATAATAAAAAAAAAATCTATTCTCATTCAGACTAAAATAGATTCTTTTAAACTTAACTGTTTTGCTACATCTATTTAAATTCATATCTTTTCGAGCTGCTCCGTATGGTTTTTTTTTTATTGGTGATAATAGAATGGTAACCCCGGCCGCGCTATTGGTATACGCTGGCGGGTCACCAGTGAGGAATGATAGGTGATGATGAAAGCAGGTCAGTTAACCCATCGTGATGAATTCCACTAGAATTAACCACGATGGTTTCCAGAGATAATCGCGTGAAGGTCGACCTGAAGGGTGTATTGCTAGCAATGCGTCAGTTACACCCCATTACTAACAACCCTTTTTCCCTCGCCATGTATGATTTTATTAATTAAACACATTATTCTCTGTTACAGTCCTTAATCTGTGATATAAAAGTAACAAAACTGGCCTCCCAGATTATCAGCTCAGTTTAAAATTTTAATGTGCTTTAATTTACCTCCCACGCGAGTAACGAGGGCTCTTATGCAAAAATTAAGACCGCAAAATCTCATTATCATCGGTCGAGGTCCACTTTAATGTCTTAATTTGAATTGAGTACCGGTTTTACATATCGCCCCATTGAAAATCACTTTGTTTTCTGTATATTTTGTTAACGTTAATGTAAAAGCAAATTCTTTATTCCTTTTGGTGCGGATCGTAAACGAATATTTGATATTGTAATTTTATTTGGAAATTGTTTTTTTTTTATGCGATTGAAAATAGAATAGCTTGTTTATTAGAAAGTGATAACTATTGCCTATATATATATGAATAATGCCCTAGTCATTAGAGAATGCCGTGTGGTCCCGACGTAGAATGGTCCACACCTTCCTTTTTCGTGGGTTGCGTAAGAGATGATTAAGGGTGTTTAATGAATCCTCTATCATCATTGAAATTTTTAAATAAATTATATATTTTGTTTCACAAAATAACAAAAACACACCGACATCAATTATGCCAAAATCGGTTACTTTAATTTAAAAAAAAA